AGAGAGAGAGAGAGAGAGAGAGAGAGAGAGAGAGAGAGAGAGAGAGAGAGAGAGAGAGAGAGAGAGGGGAATTCCACAGCGTTGTACGAGGTGTGTAGGGGTACATACTGCAGTCGAGTAGCATCACTCCCCACGCAAAAGGATCTGCAGTGGGGCAAAGTCGAGAAAACTGGGCTGCTGAAGAAAAGAATGGTGCCCGAGAGAAAACCGAAAACTAATCGGGCAAATGTCAGAAAAAGAAATCGAAAGAAAACTGAGCCGTGCAAAGAAATATCGATGTTAGACTTAAGAAGCCGAAAAGAACTCGGAAAAGCAGTCGAGAAGAAGAAGGGAAAAAAGTCCAAAAGTCGATGAAAAGACCTGGCTACGCACGCGAAGAAAGAATGATCAAGGTCGTGTGAATAAGCGGCGCAGCCTTAGAGCAAAGATGCGCACCGTGATTAAAAAAAAAAAAAAAGATAAGCACAGATGGGGTTCCCGAAGCGCATGCATCACGTAGAAGGAAGATGTCCATCGTTCATCTGCAATGGACAGCACAACGGTCCCTCAGTCAGATTCCGCAGACGAACACTTCTGCATCGTGCGGCTTCCGTAGCATGACACTGATGTCACTTACTATAAGAATAAACATGCTTCTGCTGTGAACAAGGGTCCTACGTGCGATGGGTGTAACCACTCCTTATGGGACTCGACCTGTCAATCAATCTCCCAATCAATCAATCTCCCAATCAATCAAACTCTCAATCAATCAGTCTCTCACTCAATTAGTCTCTCAATGAATCTCTCAATCAATCAATCAATCAATCTCTCAATCAATCTCTCACTCACTCACTCAATCTCTCAATCAATTCAATCAATCAATCAATCAATCAATCAATCAATCAATCGTCAATTCGTCTCTCAATCAATCTCTCAATCAATCTCTCAATTAATCTCACAATTAATCTCTCAATCAATCTCTCACTCACTCAATCTCTCAATCTCTCAGTCAATTCAATCAATCAATCAATCAATCAGTCAATAAGTCAATCAATCAATCAATCAATCAATCAATCTGTCAAGAGTCCCACACGATGCTGACGATTTGAAATCCTGTGCGATTAGGAAAAGAGGAAAAAAAGGAATGCCAGGGAAGTACCGTCTTTTCCCCGAACACAGCGCACACTCATCATGAGTGTATCAGACCGGAAGGACGGCATTTATGCATTCATGACCGGAGTGGGTTGTGTTCGCGGCAAGACGGCAAAGATCGCTGCCCAGCGCGAAGAGCATAAGGGACCCAGAGAATGTGCTGGAAAAAAAAAAAAAAAAAAAAGGAGAGCACTGCGCACGCAAAGAATGATCAGTCCTAGGTCGTACTTTACAAAACTGCAGTAGTGTGAGTCCGCCGTGAGGCGATCTGCAGTCGAGGAAACAATAATTGCTACACCAAGCGCAATCACTCGCTCGAACGATGATGCTTCCCCTCTCTAGAGCATAAGCTTCTTTCAACACTTGTCGATGCGCAACCTCCTCTTCCCCCTCCGCCTCCCCTCCCCCCTCCCCCTCCCCCCGGCTACCCCTTCCCCCTCTTTCCCCCCCCTCTTCCACCACTGGGCGAACGATGGTGCTTCCCCTCTCTAGAGCATAGGCTTCTTCCAACAGTCGGCGAATGACGTATGGACAACCCCCTCCTCCCTCTCCCCCCCCCCTCACCTTCTCTCCCTTGCGCCCCCACCCTTCCCCTCCCCC